AGCGTCTTTTCTGAGCCTAGATTCAATGTTCTCAGTCTCATCTCACCTCAGCTGGACTAGGCGCTCACTAGGGCCTGCACCATGTCTGCACGGCTCTGTCCCAGCCCTCAACGTAACACGTGTCTCATCAACGTCAGCTGGGGCCTGTCCCCCCGCGGGGCCAGAGCCTCGCTTCCTAACAGCCTTCGTCCTGGCCAACCAGGCCTTGCCATTCCCTCATGTTCTTAACTAAGCCCCTTTCCAGACTTGTCTTTCAGCCCAGCGTCCCCACATTGGCAAGAAGTGTCCCAGGAAGTGAACCCCAGCATGAAGGCAGGTGCAGAGGTGAGCCAAGGCCCTGAGGGGCTTGGTACCTGTGCCCTCTACCTCCCAGATGGCCGGCCTGTGAAGTAGGCTCTGGCATCTGGGTTCAAACCAGACTGCTCCTCCACTTATTCCCTAGTGATCTGGGGAAAGTGATTTCGCCTCTCCGCACCGAGCTTCTTCCCAGAGCTCCTGCAGCCCTGCCGGAGGTGGTCTGCGGTCAATGCGCGGTGCCCAGCACCAAGCAGATCCTTCCAGAACATTAGCTAGAATCGGCATATGACCACACGGATGGGCCGCCACGGGTTCAAACACGTCACACTCACCAGGTTACAGACCTGTGCGATGTCGGTTTTGTCACGACTGTGGTGGTCACCAGTATGTTCGCATGCGCATAGTGGGGGGCACCAGCAGCGCGGGTCTGTCACAGCAACGTGAGAGGCCCTCTAGCGGAGCAGGAGGGGCGTTCACTGCAGAGCCCGGCCTCTCTGAGCTTCACCACCTGCTGCCTGTGTGGCCTGGGACAAACCTCTGACCCTCCACTTCCTCATGGTAAAATGGAGATGAGAATGCTTTATAGGAGGGCCAACAGGTGGGGGGCAGGCAATTAAGGCGCCAGACTTAACCCATGGCTGACTGCGGTTTGAGTCCCAGACCTGGTGGCTGGCTTTCTCATCTCTCTCTCTTTCTCTCTCTCTGGTGAGCACACATCCCCTATAGCAAATTTAAAATAATTATAATAAATAAAATAAAATAAATAAATAATTTTTAAAAACCCATAATGCTGAAACCAGCAGTTGGCGTGGTGGTTAAGGTGCTGGACACTCCCACATGGCTGACCACAGTTCAAGTTTTGGACCCGGTGGCTCGCTTTCTCACTCTCTCTTTCTGTGTGTCTTCGGTCAAATTAAAATAAATGAATAAATTAATAAAATTAAATTTCAAAAGATTCTTTTTAAAAAATCATGCTTTATAGGGTTACTGAGAAAATTAAATGGGGAAAACGCATGGGAAACTCCATCCGGTGCCTGCGTACTGTGGCTGCTCAGTAAATAGTTTACTTCTTTGTCCCATCAAGTCCCTGTTCGATAGTCGCAATGACAGCTCTTACTGTCTGTCCTCTGTACACCCCTGCCCTCTCTTTCTAGGCTTTTGCCATAGGCCACTGCACTTTCTGGAGAGAGACAGAAAGAAACAGTGAGAAGGAAAGTGAGAAATCACCCCCCAGGAGGGATGGCTATACCACAGCCCCTTCTCCTCCATTTTCCTCCTAGGATTTTGGGCACGGACAGACACCCGGTGTGATTTTTAAGCCACCAGGTCGAGGACTCGAACTGCAGTTGGCCATGTGGGAGTCCAGTGCCTTAACCACCACACCACCTGCTGGCCCCATTACTGTCTCCCTGTTGCAGACAGGAAATGAAGCCCCAAAGGCTCACCCACAATTCCACATGCACTCGAAACAGAGGGAGACTAGAAAACACAGGCCTGCTGGCTGAGCCTTTATCCCGAGGCCTGGCCCGCCAGCGTCCCTGCAGCGTCCCTGGTAAGAGTTTGGACTGCACGGGAGTCGGGCCGGGGCGTCCTGACTTGCGAAGATCTCTCTAGCTATCTCTCCAGTTGGAAGCCCAGCCCTGCACAAACTCCACCACTCACACCTTGTCCCTGAGACTGAGCCGTTGTTTTATCAGCAGGGTGACTTGGAGATCCACCGGGTCCCTTCCCAGTTGGGAAACTGGGGTAACCGACTGCGTCCCGGAGCTGTTTCCTGTCTGAGGGTAATGAAGGCCACACCTGACCCCTAGGCTGCTGCGAGGCACAGAGACGAAGCCTCCCCGGGGCTGACGCTGCCTCCCACACCCGGGAGGACGGCTGCTGTCGACGTCCAGACGCCTGACCGTGCTCTCCCTGGGCACCTCCCTGACCAGGGCCACTCAGCGGGCTCAGGCCTCTCTCCCTCTGACCCCTTAAACTTCCCAGCTTCTGTCTCAGTGTCTCCCAGGAGCACAACCAAGCATCTGGAACCTTCCCATTCACTGAGCGACCCTGCACCCAGGGCGGGGACGCGGCCCTCCATTCCTGTGCGAACTGGCCAGTGCAGCTTGTCCAGCGAGGGGGCTGGACCTTGGGCGGCCGAAGGAGGAGGAAGGAGCGGGAGAGCTGGGCAGGGAGGGCGGGAGGGCAGGGCGTGGCTGGCGCAGACCTGGAGCACTCCTGCTTGCAGATGTCGATGATGTTCTCCACGAGCAGGTTCCTCTGCAGCCCGTACACCCCGTGCCGGTCCATGACCACCTCGTGGCGGCAGGAGGGACAGCGGAAACGGCCTCCGGACATGGACACCGAGCCACCCCGGGTGGCCCAGTAGGGGTTTGCAGCCTGCAAGTGGCAAGGGCAGAGGTCAGGCTGGGCTCCCTTCTCAGACCAGCCCCTTTCTTCCTTCCTCTTTTCTTCTTCTCCCCTTCCTTCCTTCCTTCCTCCCTCCCTCCCTCCCTCCCTTCCTCCCTCCCTTCCTTCCTTCTTTCTTTCTTTTCTTTTCTTTTTTTTTTGGTAGTTTGCTATTGGGCACATGCACTTGCCAGAGAGAGAGACAGAGAGATAGAAAGAAAAGGAAACTGAGAAGTCACCCCCCAGGGGAGATGGCCACTCCACAATCCCTTTTCCTCCAGTCTCCTCTTGGGATTTTGGGCACACACGCACACGTACCTGGTGTGATTTTCAGTCACCAGGTCCAGGACTTGAACTGCTCAGTCAGCTAAGTGGTACTCAGCTGCCTTAACCTACGCGCCACTGCTGGCCCCATTCCCTTTCTTTTCTTTTTCCTCTTTTTTTAGAGAGATTTTTTGCTATGGGGCGCATGTACTTGCCAGAGAGAGACAGAAAATGAGAAATCACTCCCTGGGGGATGGCCACACCGCAATCTCTTCTCCTCCAGTCTCCTCTCGGGATTTTGGTCACACACATGTGACCAGCTTGGATTTTTTAAATGATTTTTTTAATAGAATTATTTATTTTATTTGATTTCTCATTTGTTTTAATTTGACCAGAGACACACAGAGAGAGACAGAGAGAGAGAAAATGAGAAAGCAAGCCACCAGGTCTGGGACTCAAACCGTGGTTGACCATGTGGGAATGTTCAGCATCCCAACCACTACACCATCTGCTGACCCCAACCCCAGGCCTGAATTTTAAGCCACTAGGTCCAGGACTTGAACTACAGTTGACCAGGTGGGAATCCAGCAACGTAACCATTACGCCATCTGCTGGTCCCTCCCTTTTCTAATCTGTTGTCCTCCCAGCTTCCTCCAACCACCCCTGGCAAATGAAATGACCAAGGACTTGAGATGAGAACCGACCCACTTCATATCTAAGCAATCAACAGGTTGGAGCCAGCAGACCTGGGTTCAAGTCATGCTCACTCTCTGGGTGACTTTGGGCAAGCAAAGCTGATCTCTCGCCATGGCTTGCCCACTCATGAAATGGGCATTATAATTAGAGCAAGCTTCTAGGGCTGCTACTTGAAAGATAAAACAGTGAAAGAGCAGTTTGTCAAGTGCCCGTCTTCCAGCCAAGACACCAGCTCCCACTCTGTGTCAGGGAGACAGAGTCCCTCCTGTCCCCACAAGGCAGGGAACAGCCTGGGAGGGAAGACGCCTCCCTGACGCCCTGTGCCCAACGCTCTGGGCCCCTGCCGCCTGAGCTGGCTCCGGCCCAGGGCTCTGGTTTCCCCCCTCGGCCTGCCTCCCCCACTTATCACTTGAGGCATTTGACTCTTGACTGGAGAGTCAACAGCGGCGCTGGGGCAGGGCGGTGATGGTGACATGCGTCATGGAGACGGTCTGGGGTGGCCAGAGCCCTCCCCAGGCCCCTCAGCCCAGCCCAGAGGCCTGTGCAGGGGTTCGTTCCTGAGGGGAAGGAGCCAGCCCTGGCCGGCCTGAGAGAAGGGCTTCCATCCAGGCAGCCGGCTGGCCACCGGGCCCCAGGGCAGCCATGCCCAGTGCTGACCTGGAAGGTGTCGTTGGCACACTTCCGGCAGAGGTTGTGCTGGCACGGCAGGATGACCACGGGCTTGGTGAACATCTCCAGGCAGATGGGGCAGATCAGCTGCTTCTCCAGGTTCTCCATGGCGCTGCCATCCTGGATCAGGCCGGACTTGTAATCCATGTTGCAGGGGCTGCCGGGCTGCGGGGGCCGCCTGGCCGCTGCTTCGTCTGCTTCCTCGCGTGGACCTGGGGCTTGCCCTAGTCACAGAACACCTGCTCGCTCTCCGCCGCCCTTGCCCGTAGCCCCAACTCTGTCTGGTCTGAGGCCCCTCTGATATTTATAGCCAGGCCACGGTCACATGCACCGGGAGGGACCAGCTGAGCATTCCGATGCCAAGGGCCTGGCGAGGCTTGAGTTTCCTCCAGGCCTGAGAGACCAGCCCTCTGGAATCACATGTGAGGGTGAGCAGTCGCTGTTCCCCGGGACGGATGGGGGTCGTAAACAAGAACAGCCTGTTCGGAGGGAGACTGGGGGCGGGGGGTGGGGTAGGCACCCGGAGTTTCTCAAGCACTCGGTCTCCCCTGCTCCGGGCTGGAGAGGCAGGACGGACCCAGCGAGTGGACCGCTGGGATCTGAGGAGTTAGCCAGCGCCCCTCGCTGACCTAAATCAGTTCCCTCATAGACCAGGGTCGGGGTGGCCCCTGTGTCTGCGCTGTCCCTCTGCCTCGCCCTTGAGCACAGCACTTTGCTGGGGACCCTGAAGCCCGTGCCAGCCTCCCTCCCACTCTCAGCCACTTACTCCGTCCCATGCTGTGAGGGGGTCTCTGGAGACATGGTCAGTTCCCTCATTTTATAGAATTTGAAGTGGGTCTAGAGAAGGACCTTGTTCAAAGTCACTTAGGGACGAAATGGCAACGCCAGGAATCTTGTTCATTCATCAGACGTGTTCCTCGGTACAGTACTACCCAAGGTGACAGGCGAGCGCTCAGTCCCCCGGCCCAGATCATAGCCCAGGAGGAGGGTGACAGGAATAGCTCCCATGTGTGGCCAGGAAGCCCTGCCTTCTGGAGGCTCAGCAGTTAGGCTGAAGCTGGCGCTCTGCACGAATTCGCACTTTTCTCCATGTTTTTCAGGACGTCTTCCATGTGGACAAGTCAGTCTTAGAGAAGTTTTGATCTTTTTTTTTTTTTTCCCTTGCTTCCATTTTTTTTTTCTTTTTTCTTTTTTTTTTTCAGATTTTTGCCATAGGGTGCATGCCCCTGCCAGAGAGAAAGAGAGAGAGGGAAAGTGAGACATCACTCCCCAGGGGAGGGCCGCACTGCAGTCCCTTCTCCATTGTCCCCTGGGATTTGGGGCACACATGCACATGCAGCAGGTGTGATATTCAGGCTGCCAGGTCCAGGACTCAAACTGTGATTGGCCACATGGGAGTTCAGCATCTTAGCCGCCATGCCCTGCTGGCCCTCGACGGTTGTTTCTAAGGTAGAATATCATGCCAACTTGGGGTCCTAGGGGCTACAGTGTTGGGGTGGAAGGCTGGGAGCAGTGGCTGCAGGCCTCAGGGTAGCCGGGAGGAAACTGTGGGCACTCTGGGGGTGTCGAGAACACAGGGTGAGCAGGGTGGAGCAGGGTGGGCAGCAGGGACAGAGCTGGCCTTGGGAGGAGGAGCCCATGAGAGGAGAGAGGGGGCCTTGAAAACAAAGGGCAAGAGAATTTGGAGGACGGGGCAGTGTCCCTTAAAGTGTGAAGGGCGCCTTTGTGCCGAGTTCACCACTGGCCAGGTGCTGAGCTCGGCACTTGGTGCTCACTGCTCCATTCCGTCAGCTCAACCCCCTGTGCCCTGAGAACCATGGGTCTCCATCCCCCCGCCCCCACCCCGGTGGAAGCCCAGGCTCAGCGGGGTAAGGGAACCTGTGTGAGGTCACGCAGCTAGTGAGAGGTGGCTACGCACACAAACCCAGGAACGCTTGACTCTGGAGTCCATTCCTTCACACCTCTGCTGAGCGGCATACGGGGCGAGCCAACCCTGCCGGGCCAGCCAGGGGTCGGAGAGGACGAGGACTGGAAAGGGGCCATCCTCTCTCCCTTACTCACAAGACCTCGCTTTTGTGCAGGCACCAGCCAGAACTGCCCACCAGGAAGTGGGTCTCCACTGCCACTGGAGGTAAGCCTCAGCGCACGTAGGTAGTTCTCACAGCAGGACGCACCCTAAAAGTCAGGATTCCGAGCCCAGACCTCCGAACCCAGAGCACAGTTCCCTCTCTCTTAAGCTGAGGGTTTGTTGGAGATTTCTAGGGAGATTTTCCAGCTGTGCCTCAAATTCATCATACCCCAAGCAGAATACACCATCTTCCCCTACCCCGAGGTCCGAGGTCCTCCTTCCATTTGTCTTGTCCTGTCTCGGAGGACGACACCACCACCACCCATCTGTACCGGGCAGGCCCCTGTCCTGCCGTTGCATGTCCAGCCCCTAGTCGAGCATGGCCCTTGTCCCGTCCCTGTCATCCGTTTGCGAGTCTGACTCTCTCTCTGGACTTTGAAGACTGTGAGGCCAAAACCGTCAGTCTCTACCTGCCTCTGTGCCCCGAGTGCCTGGCAGGAAGCAGGCACTCGCCCAGCGCACCTCAAATGAGTGGACGAGGGAATGAGTGAATGAAACAAGGGAGCAGTTGAGGCGCCGTCAGACTTGGTGAAGATGAGGACGGTCGAGCAAGTTTGCTGGCTGAAATGGCGCAGCCAGAGGGCAGAAGGTCCTCAGATACGGGCCTGAGGGTGAGGGGGTGACTCCCAAGGCTTTGGGCAGGAGAGGGACTCTCTGAGTCTTGAGTCGGGAGGGTAAGAGAGAGGAAAGGATGAGGGCGAGGGTCAGAGGTGTTGGGAGGTGGAGAAAAGGGTGCCTGCATGTGATGACCTTGGTCCAGAGAGCGCTGAGGTCAGCCTCTGAGGCTGCTGCAGCGGGAGGGGAGCAGGAGTGCGGGTGGGAACAGTCCAGACAAGCCAGTGTGGACAGGGAGTACCTGGGGTGGGGTGGAGGTACCGGAGCCTCGGGGCGTTTCCCCACAGAGGTCCACGAGGAGCTGCCCACTGGTGCTGTTGACACCACGCTTGGCAGTCCAGGTGCAGACCAGAGCGAATGGACAGTGGGAGCCCATCCAGCCCAGCACTGGCAGGGCCTGCGCTGCTGAAAGTCAAGGGGCGAGGAAGGGAACTTCCCGTGTGGCCGCGCTGGCCGTCAGACTATGCCTCGTCATCAAATCCTCGCAACAGTCCTGGTCTTCGTGTTTTACTCCCAGGAGGAAACGAGGCCAGGAGACTCAGTGAGCACGGCCAAGTGGCAGTGCCAGGCTGGGGTTCGCACCCCACCTGTGCTCCTTTCCCCGTGTGCTGGGTGCTGCGAGAAGCCCTCCCATCCATCCTCTGTTCCGTCCTGCACAGAGTTCAGTAGCAGGGATCATGATTTTCCCTATTTTGCAACCGAGGTACAGAGGCTCAGAGAGGTTAAGGTGGTTAAGGTCCCCAGCTGCGAGGGACAGAGCCAGAATCGCAACCTAGAAGTCATAAAGCAGTATTACTACTACCAGTTATGAGAACATACTGTCGGGACCAGCAGTTAGCGTAATGGCTATGTCGCTGGACTCCCATGTAGTCGACCGCGGTTCAAGTCCCGGACCCGGTGGCTTAAAACTCACGCCGGGCGTGTGTGCGTGCGTGCCCAAAATCCCCAGAGGAGAATAGAGGAGAAGGGATTGCGGCGTGACCATCCCCTCTGGGGGGTGATTTCTCGCTTTCTGTCTCTATGTCTCTCTCTGTCTGTCTGGCG